CGCGCCTGATGGTAAGCGGCCACCATAGACTATAGACGCTAGCGATACCAAAAAAACACTCGCACCGTAGCCTGCACTGACCCAATTCCTTACCCCATGGAGCCCTGGAACCTTACCCAACGACAGAAATACAACACCACCAAAAGGTAATGTTATTTTACTGTGATCTTCTGTAAGTGCTTATGGTCATTGAGTTAATTATTAATTCCATATCTCTGTATCAAGTTACCATGGAAACATTACTTTGACAGTTCAGACTCGAAAAATACAGTATTACTTAGCAAGATTTTATATTTTACTAGCTGACCCAGCGAACTTCATACCGCCATAAAAATAGGGGCAGGTGGTAGAAGACAAAATTTAGGGTTGTATGTATTTTTTAATACCACATTATAAAAAAATAATATTGTTAAAAAATATTAACCCATATGAGAACACTACGTTACAATACCCAATAGTTTGATTTTGGCGCGAAGGCGAATTGTAGGTTTCAGAACACTACGTTACAGATGGACTATTATCACTTAAGGATATGAAAAATAGATAGTAGCCAATTCTCAGACCCACGGAATCTATCTATATATATAAAACTCAAAGGTGACTGACTGACTGACATAGTGATCTATTAACGCACAGCCCAAACCACTGGACGGATCGGGCTGAAATTTGGCATGCAGGTAGATGTTATGACGTAGGCATCCGCTAAGAAAGGATTTTGATCAATTCTACCCCAAGGGGATAAAATAGGGAATGAAAGTTTGTATAAAACTTTATCAATTTTAAACCGATCGCGCTGAGACTTTGCATGCAGGTATAAGAAGAATCATAGATGAATATCATTGTGTATAATACAAGCCTGAGAACAAAAACTGTAGTCTACACTTCAGCTCTACACCGAAGCCACGCGAGGGCGGGCCGCTAGTATGCATATAAAATTTTTTAAAAATCGGTCAGGCCGTTTCGGAGGAGTATGGTTACTAACATTGTGACACGAGAATTTAATTTAATTTAATATTTGATTTAATTACATATTTCTTCCCAACGGATCATTAATAGTAAGGTGGAAGTTACTTACCGAGACTGGCGCTCCAGTTCGAGTGGGACATAGGTTATGCCCTACCTCTCTTAAATTAAAAGTAAAAAGAGAAACTTTGATTACTGCAGGTTTGTCATCAACTATGGCTCCAAAATATCCCATTTTTATACCCGTCCTACGGAGTCATTACTTGTTATGGCAAATTCAAATTGGAGTCAAGTGGTCCGGGACTTCCGATTCGGTGAAACGAGGTTCCTGAAAACTTAAGAATGTAACATTATGGTAATTTGTTTGCTTTCAAGAGTTGAGAAGTGAACCTAGGTTCACTCGTTCATTCCATTCAAATCATTCTGTCATTATTTTGCAATCATAGATGAATGATTGGAGCGAAACCAATCATTCATTTATGTTTGCAATTTTATTTCATACACTTAAATAATACACTAAGGCCCGTATGACAGAATGACAACTAAGTGTTGATCCTTACTTAAGTACAGTTAGAAAGGGATGTCGCTATAGCTATATATAGCGACATCCCTTTCTATCTATGCTTAAGATTAGATTCATTATTTTACTGAGAATCTTTCTATAATTTAAACTTTAAACTTTTATATGGATTTAAAGTCTGAAATAAATGTTTATTATATTATATTACATAATACGGGCCTTAGATTCACTTAAACAAGCCAAAATATGAGATGGTATAAAGAACCAAAATAGGTTGTGATTGAATAGTCATACAGGCTAATTAAATCAGGCATATTGAAATTCACTTAAATGACACAAAATAAAGCTTAATAACGCACCATTCATGTGTGATGTGGTGTAAAAGAAGGAAAATACTTTGACCTATAAATCTACTTTTAAACGCGGAAGTCTTATTATTTTTTCGTAGAAAAGTAGCGACAAGCGCAGAAAAAAATATTGCGAGAATAAAAGACAGACCGAAATTCACAGTAAGAAGATATCATAATAATGGGACTTCCCGAAGAATAGACTGCGATCTATTGTGCAGAGGTTCTATAGTAAAATTTGGATTGACGACTCTAATATTCAGTCTGAAGATTAAAAAATATTAATGTCTATTTATAAATCTGAAGAGTTTGTTTGTTCCCCAGGCAAAGCCTGTAAGGCTTTTATGGCCATAGGGGTCGTCCTAGGGGTTTGTTTTAGCCAGTAAGAGTCTGACATCTATAAGGATTTCACACCCGTACTTAGGAGGAAACAAAAAAATAAAAATGTTTTTTTCGGGTGAACGCGCTAATCTCAGAAACTATTGGTCCGATTTGAAAAACTCTTTTTGTGTTGGAAAGTGTATGTATCGAGGAAGGAGTATAAGCTATATAACATAATGCTACGATAACAGGAGCGGCACCAATGAAAAAAAAGTTGTAATACCTAACGGTAAAAAAATAAATCATTTGTAAGCTTTCGTTTCGTTCGCTGGGTAAACAGGTAAAGTTACACGAAAATCATGTATGACGAAATGGTTCCCCTTTAAAGGTTCTCTAAAAAGATATAAATACAAGCCTGAGCACAACACTATAGTCTACGTACGCCGAAGCGAAGCGAGGGCGGGCCACTAGTCACATTAATATTATAAAGGCGAAAGTTTGTGAGTGTGTATGTTTGTTACTTCTTTACGTCTTATTGGCTGGAGCGATTTAATAAATAAGATTTGGTATGGAGTTAGCTGACACCCTGGATTAACACATAGGCTACCTTTTACTGCGAGAATATCCCTAATATACCGCGGGTAACACCAAGGGGCACAGCTAGTAATCTAAAAATAGCTCAAAGAGCGTACTTCAAAGTCCAAAAACGACGGGAGTCCTATACAACTTTCACCTTTCATCCTTTTATCCCTATAGGAAGGTGAAGAGGGTGAACTTCCTCAAATCCTACCTTACCTGACGTATCGTACTCATTATCTATCTCAGAGCCACATTTGATCTCCATAGGGAATGTATCTTCGGAGATTTCTGATTAATCAATGAATGAGTGTCCTTTTGCTTCATACCTTTGTAAGATAATATAATATAGATATACTATTTATATTATAAGTTTGAATCGATTGAAAATTAAAGGAAAAGTGGTGAGAAAGTGGAAACTCGAATAAGGTTACTTCTTAGACTATCTTTACGTGATAAAAGAATTTGTTTTTTGTTTGTTATTCAATATAAAATCTTCTGTATTTTCATGATATTGCCGCTATAAAGATTTAAGACTACCGACTCACATGACTGTATAAAAAGTAAATATTTGTAAAAAAAATGCGCTTTTTAAACATTTTCTTTCAATAAAAAAATTAACGCAAATATAACGTTTTGAGTTAAGTAACACGAATCTAACGCCGCAGAGTCAAAAGTAACGCTAAATACTAGAAAAGTATCGTTCCAGCAACGCTGTCAATCGCAGAACACAGAAATAGCTTCAATGTGTTTACCATTAAACTAAATCCTCACTTCTGAACCCTTAGGGCTTCGGCCGTAAAATAAACTTATATGTACTATCCTTTTATGTATTTTTTACATCTATTAATGCTATGATATGTCCCCAGTTAGTCGTCTTTATGTTAAAAAAATAGAGCTATTTTAACTTAAAGGTGAAAAAAAGCTCTGTTTTGGGATAATCAAGGTATGTTTAATTAAAGAAAAAAAAACTATGTTTCCTTAAGGCTATTTACCAAGTTCTTTTAAAAAGGTTCGTACGTTTTTCCTCGTGTATAGTGTCTCAATAAAAAGTGAATATTCATAATTCTGTTGCGAAAACACTGAAATATCAGTAAAAAAATGCGATAATAAAAAACATGTTTTCAAATACGCCGCGGAAACGTCACTCTAGCAAATATGGCCTTTTACAAGCAGGTGACGTGACATGGCTCTCATTACAACGTGAAACGTACAAAGTAATATCACTACGACAGCAAGTTTACAAGCAGGTGACGTCATTTTGGACTCCGCCAATCCTAGGCGTTTTCGGTCACTTGACAATAGGTGGAAAATTACTTTCCTTTTTCATGTTTTTATTAATATCAAGTAGGAATGCCAAAGGGGAAGATCTTCCTCCGAGTTGGATGATGGTAACTCGGGGGCCGCGGCCCGACTGATGCTGGTCGGGCATCATATATATGGAGCGTTTGGCTCCGAATTTCTCTTGCGCGATGTAGGCTTCCATACGTTGTGAACACAGCGCCGGTAGCGCCATCTCTTAACGAGGCGAGTGACTATTTCCTCTATGTTCATTATATGTGGGGCATGTAGATGTCGCCGCTACAATATTATCAACATTTTTTTTTTATCAGAATAATATTCAATATTCATGTTTAATACACATGCCAATGCTGTTCGTGGCTTGATTGAAGATGACTTTTACATTTGGGGACGGCGAGATCCTAAGGGGACCTTAAGCCGAGAATTGGCGAGTGCCTCTAGAGGTATTATATGCCAATAATTGGAATTTTAGTTTTTATATTATCAAATAGCCTATTATTAATTCCATTCTTAGATTGAATATACGATAAAAGTAAATAGTTTCAAACATCGTAACTGAAGCCTTTTTAAACATCAATTTGAAATACAAAATATTAAAGAAGTCGTGATTGATATGTTTTATTCGATATTATGCTGTACTGAATGCTGAATTTGACGGTGACATTAATTGACGCTCTAACAGAGGTTTATAGATTCTTAAGTTTGCTTTATATAGACAATGGTGTCGATTCTGGCAGCATTCTCTAAACTTAAAACTAAATTTTGATCAGTCTGTCCTTTTCATTCTGTATAGTGAATGACAGGGATACACTGTTGTCAAATTTAAGTTTAGCTTTGGAGAATCATGCCCGAATCGATACCAATATCACTTTGTTTTTAACAATGTTTGTTTCTAAATGCGACCGTGAATATAAATTTCTTTTGTTTTTTTAAGTGACCGGTAAACTAATAAAACTTTATCTTCTTTACAGATGCATTGGCTGATACATCGAATGTTCATTTGGTAAGTGAAAAAGTCAAATAGTTTAATAAATATTATACAAAATGGCATTCTTAAACTAACTGCACAATAGCTATCACTTTCCCTCTGAGGAGTTAAGCAACTATCACAATGGCGTGTTATTGGATGAGTGGCCAAAAATTTGTCATCCAGAGCTCCTCCATACTTTGAAAGACATGTTAAGCTGTTACATCCAGCTGCATATGGAATAACGATTCAGAAAGATAGCCAGGGTTATGGTATAAGACATAATTGAATGATCAAACGAACTTCCCTATGTGAAGTTCAATCTGAATTGTACTGTTATCGCCGAAGAGTGCAAAGAAAAATCACTGTTCTCATTCACTTGTGAAACTGATTTTAATCAGACTACGTGCGATCGTGGCGCGCTCGCACAAAGAAATGAGCATCGATGTGACAAGCAGCGGCGGCGGAGCGTGGTGAAGAGAGGGGGTTACCTCCCACTTTTTTTACTACGCTCTAAACTATGTTCGGACTGGCTGGTCGTACTAAGGGTACTACATAGTAAAGAAAAATAAATCTCGGAGGTGATAACTAGGGACACGAAAAAAGTATCGATACTTTGTGGTATCGAGTACTTTTCCTTTCGATACCGATACTTTTGTACTCGATACTTGGTTTTCAATACTTCAACTAAATGAGTTATTTTTGGCAAGTATCGATACCTTTAAAAATTTGGATAAGCGCCTTATATTGATGGCAACGCCATCTAGTGGAATCATAGCAAACCTTCTAAAACATTCCATTGCGTTGATATAATTGGAAGCAGAAGCAATCTAGTGTGTCCTGAGACTTACGTACTTGAATTACGCACGTTTAGTTTTGCAGTTGATTATATTAACATTACACGTTTTTAAGATCTACATCTTTCTACATAATATTTAACTTTCTACATCTACATAATATAGAAATGTGTGAATTTACATGTCCTTTTTTTGTTTTTGATTATACGTAGTATACTATAGTAAAATTTTATTGTTTTTCTTTTAATTTTAACCCGGGGGAGGGAGGGGGGGGGTTTGCTTATAAGGTCCTATGAAATGTACTCAATACTTCAAAGTATCAATACTTTTGTTTCAATACTTTTACGAGTACGATACTTTTTCTCCGATACTACTCATGAGTACAGTATCGATACTTTCTATTCGATATCGTGTCCCTAGTGATAACAGGACAATTTCTTTATGTGATTCTATCCATAGAGAAGACCTCTGCCCTAGCAGTGGGGATTTCAATAATATATAGACAAAACCAATTAACCTTTCCCTAAAGTGAGAGATAAATGGTATTCATACAAATATTTGACCCACCGGGATTCGAACATAGGACCGAGGAGGACGAAGAGCAGGCGACACCTTGAAAATCAGTGTTTTTGTCGTTGGGTAATCTGATTTGATAAAATTTATCAAATCAAATTACCCTAATTTCGAGAATACTTAATATTCTCGAAAATTTATTTTATTTATTCTCTAGGGATTTGGCGAAATTGCGGATAATCAGATAATGGCGATGACATTGCTTAATCATACTTTTGACGAAATTTTTTTCTGACGCTTCGCCAGCCGCTGATGCGGCACGCTCACTACGCTCACTCGGCTCGCGCGTCATGATCACAACAGTAATCTAACCTTAAACCAGTGTGAACCCAAGAATATTTATAATAAGCCAACGATTATTTTCGCAATATTACTGAGGACACATTTGCTCAAAAAAATCATTTTGCGGAGGTTGTATTCCTTGTACAAAATTAAAAATTACGGGATAAACAATGGAGATTCTCCCATACATTGCGCCGTGTGTAGGATACGCATGGCCCCATGTATGGAGGAGTGTCTCCGTTACGGTTACGGTTTAAGTTCGGTCGAACCTCGTTGCTTGTTCTCAAGTGCTTTTTATATATACCTTTGTCTCACTTTAATACGTGATGTAGTTCTAATTTTCACAACCCACAGGTGGCACCATTTAGTAATGCGCGCCATTTCCTTATTAGAAAACAGTTTGCTTCATTAAGGTACAAGTCCGAACTAAACCGCAGACCACAGGCCGCAGCTGAAGACTGCAGGCGACATTACTAGTTTCCATGAATCTCTATGAAATTGATTCCGAGCGCGGCGACATGCCGCGGCTGCACAATGCATATAATACACGGTCAGCCGCAGGTGCTAGCTGCAGGCGCTAGCCGCAGGCGCAGGCCCCAAGCGCTAGCCGCAGGCGCAGGCCCCAGGCGCTAGCCGCAGTGCCGCCGGCGGTTGTCGCCTGCAGCCCATTGCGGAATTGTACCTTTACACAAATAAGGTATAGGTTATTTTCTCGCAAATGTGATATTTACAAACTCGTGACTATGGTAAGCCATTCACAACTAGGTCTACTTGATTGTAATAAAAAAATCTTTCCGCACAAATTATCATAAATAACTATTTTCAGTAAGATTGAGAAATGTCACCGCTATTGTCTAATTCCCCGTTTTGGCAAAACCACTGGGATTTGATTTATAAAATCATGCTACGTCATACGTACCACTCTACAATTCATTGCCGAATAATTCAAAATTATTCATCCATATTTAATTAAAGCTGTTGATCATTAAACAGCTTTAATTGACACAAACAGAGACACATTGTCATTCTCGCCGCTCGCACAAATAACGTTATCTAATTAGCACTAAAAGCAACAGTGAGTCATTAATTATTTAAACTGGAGGAGCAAACAAATCATTTATACAGCCTAATTGCTGCGATACCGTGCATTTCGTATTCCGGACGTGCGAATCGGTACCGATTGTTATTCTGTACTCGATTGTAGCAGTATCGATCTTATAGAACAACAACAGTCTAATTGGTTATTTTAAAGATCAATTAAAAATTGACAATACTGGGTATTGTAGGGCTATTTTTTTATACAATTTTTATTTTGGCAGTTGTACGTGCTTGGTGTACTTCTTCATAAACGGGCTCCATTGATACTTTATATGAAGCGGTATAATATTTTATTATACTTAAAGTATTTAACTGTTAAATTGAGGTTGTGTGAAGTAATTTTCAAGACACCATGTTATAAAAAAAAGATCACTTCACATTTCGTATTCCAAACGAGCGTATAAGTATCGATTCCTATTCGGCGCTCGATTCTCCGACAATATCTTGGTATAATAAAGTTATATAGAGCAATCAGTATGATTTTCCTTATGAACTATCTGATGAGTTTAGATAAGCCAACATGCTCAATAAGATACATTTAGGATAAGGGGATAAGACATTCAAAATTATCGCCATCGCACAAAGATGAAGTGAAGAAGCCAATAAGGATGAAGACGAGGTAAAGTAAACGAAATTCTATTAGCATGACTTAATAGAATTAAGTCAGTTACATTATCAAAAAATAATGGTCATTTTTTTAATCTTTTCTCAAGCGAATAAAACAAGTTTCAATGGGTTAGATGCACTGATTTTATTTATAAAACTGATTAAAAATACGTTATTTCGACGATGCATTCCTGCAAAAGATTCGAAATATCAATAAATAAATAAAATCAGTGCATCTAACCAGTGAAACTTGTTATGTCTTTTTTTGTTTTTTTTTTAAGTATGTAACTGCTAGATGTTTATTTTTTTTTTAGTAAAACTTTTCTTTGGATTTAAACAGTGAAACTTGTTTTTTTTTCTCAATCAACCAAAAATTATAAATACATCAACATCCCAGACGTATAAATATAACATAAGTAGACGTATAAGTATAAGAAAATACTGTAATCAATTTAAAATGAATACTTCCAGACGCATTTTGTAAGCAGTATTTAATGCCAGACACTTAATTAATTAATTTTTTTATTTGTTTAATTCTAAACCAAAATCCACAGCATTTCTTAACATAATACAGCTTTTTTTTAATATACTTTATCTTAATGCCAAATACGGATTTTCATTTTTAGTTATAGCATAAAAGTTTAGAAAACCCACTATCAAACAAGGGCGAGATGTGTGCAGGGCGCGCGCGCCATTATATATGTGTGTGTGTGTGTGTGTATGGATGTGTTTGTGTGTATATATGCATGCATATATATTACCAATCAACCAATAGCCCTAAAAGTTGTTTTTTAAAAAATACTTTAGTTTTGCAAGCAAATATGTCAACAGCCGTGAAATTTTTAATGTAAATACTTTGCGATCGAAAAACAACTGAGTTTTGTGCATAGTTGGTGCGACATGTAGGAATTGCGAAAAAGAAAGGTGATGTATGTCTGGTACGGGTAGTGGGTGTGTAGAGTGTTAAAAATGAAGAGGCAAGCAAGCTCAGTGCAGTCTATAGTCCCATTGTAAACGTCATAAAGAAATGTCATATCGAGCATAGTGTGCCTGTCCTCGAGAGGGACCAAACGATGGAATCGACATCCTTCCCTATAGTCCGTATAGTTATTTCCTTTTCTGTAATTAAGATGCTTAACATTGACTGTATCGATTCTAAGTCATGTTAATGGGCAATGTATAGAGGATTCCAAATATTGCAGCAATATTCAAGAATACTACGACAGTATGCAAAGTACAGAATCTTTAAACAGAGAGTATCAGTAAAAGGCTTGCTAATTCTCAAAATAAACCCTAAATTCTTATAAGCTCTGTTGACTATTGTTGCTACGTGGATAGAAAAAGTTAATTTATCATCAAAGAGTATACTGAGATCTTTCACCAGATTAAATCGTGTAATGGATGTGCTATTCAAACAATAATCAAATAACTTGTGTTGGTAATAACTTGATAATCTATCTAAGTCCTCCTGAAGTTTCAGGCAGTCCAAGGTAGATTTTATAGACATAGAAATTTTCGTATCATCTGCAATCATATCACTGCCAGGACCCTTATAGACATCTAAACCCTGAAGAAGTTTTAGAACCATTTTCGGATCGACATCAGTATCTTATATTTATTATACTTATTAATAGTTAGTTAATAGTATGTACACACATTATATATATAATTAATAAAACA